ACGAATATGAATACCAATACGAATATGATTATTAATATAAATAAGAATATAAATATGAATATGAATATGAATATGAATATGAATATGAATATGAATATGAATATGAATATGAATATGAATATGAGTATGAATATGAATATGAATATGAATATGAATATGAATATAAATATAAATACGAATATTAATATTAATATGAATATGAATATAAATTTTAATATTAATATCAATATTAATATGAATATGAATATGAGTATGAATAAGAATATGAATAAGAATATGAATGTGAATATCAATATCAATATGAATATGAATACATATAAAAATCAATAAAGGTCAGATACGAGTAAAAGTACGAATACGAAGATGAATCCGAGCACTAATATAAATGCAAACACGCATACTAATTGGAGTAAAAGTACGACTGCAGGTATCTCAGTGCATCTTAATGTTGTCACAAAAATAGAGGAAGCAAAGTACATATAGCACACCATCTTCAAAAGGAACACTAAGGGGGCTGTACAACAAAACCCTTAATCTAATGTACTTCCCGACCGTGCGCTCGCGACTTTACAGTATCAATGATGTCAGATTGATTGGCCTGATGACTTGATTTTCTCCAAAGAGTGGGAAAGCGACCAAATGCTAGACAGGCCCTAAAAACTCTTATTAAAGCCCATATAAGCCGGTCTGCCCCACACTTTACCATTGTCCTTCACCATATTTTTGCCTGCGTCATGAATTGACCTGTTACCCGAAAAATGAGTTTCCAAGAAAGTTCTGTATGTGTCGTAGGTGATTAATATAATAGATATGCAATTGCAGCAATCTTGCCTTGAAAATAAACAACAGCTTTTGTTTAACATTCAAAATATATTTATTTCCACTTGAATTTCCCCTCCCCTCTTCTTTTCACCATCGAACTTTTGGCTAACACATTGCAGCACTCCATCGACGAAACACTAACGACATGTTCACCGTCAATGTAGCTTTCCACACCAAAAGGCCACCCACACACGAGTGAGCCAATTTCAAATTTCACTTTAGTACCCACCATTCGGGTGGAATCAAGTAAAGTTTAAAAGCTCGTGCATGGCTGGACCATTCAACGGGCTAGTCGCAGGATGAACGTGCAGCATGCAATGAAATTTCTGCAGCGTGTGTTTGTTGTTGTTGTTTTTTTGCTTTTTCTCTCTCTCATCTTCAAAATGCAATGTACAATTTGATTTTTGGTACACAGAATAACATTCTGGCAATATCCTGAGCGCCACTAGACAATTCTTCATTGTATTATTGTTTTAATAAAGTTGTATTTGTCTTTGTATTTTTTTTTTTTAATTTCTTTTGTTGTATTTTATGTTTAACCAGCCTTTCTAATACGGACCAAAACGGTCTGTCTGTCACTGATTATATTAACTAAGTGATTTTTGTGTTAGTTTTTCGTTTACTTTTTCTTCGTAGTTGGTTTTGTTTTAGTTAATAGTATAATTTTGCTTTTCAAATTTATTCACTATTTTCTTAATTTTTTGTTTATGTTGCTTGTTTACTTTTAGTAACCATTAAATTTACCATCAATAAAATCGAGTTTTTGTTTTTGTTTTTGGTTTTGGTTTGGGTTTTTGTTTTTCATTGTTGCTTACACCATTATTGTTTTTGAACGTCTTCATATAAGTATCTTACTTAATTCTAATTGCATTGTATGTATGTATGTATATCTCTCTCACTTACCTTATCACTTAGACTTATTTAGCTATTTAATTAGTATGAACTTAATTTTTTGGTTTGATTTTATGTGTAAAAAAACTTCCAACCTTGGAGGCAAATACTTTGGAAGCTTTTTTCTTTTCTCTTCTTCTTCGATTTCTTCTTTTTCTGATCTTAATTTGTTACACTTAATATTCTAGTTATTTGTTGCTGTTGATTTGCTAAATTAATGAATTTATAGAAAATAATTATTTAGGCCGTATTTAAAATTTATTTCATCTAAAATTTAATTATTTTCCTTCTGAAATAAAATTTTGTAAAAAAGAAATATAAAACTTAACAAAAATATGTATATACATTAGGGGTATCACAAAAATATTGTGCGGGTTTCTTACCGGAATTATAAAATATAATATAATTTTAGACTTTCACCAAAATATTTAACGATTTTATGCATACTTTTAAAGCTAAACTCTTTTATCATCAAATGTGATTTAAAAAAAAAAACTAGTTTTAAAAACGTTATTTTCAACACAACCCAGCTTATGTTAATCTTAATATTTTTCCGTAATATTTTGCGGGAAGTTTTAAAATATAATAAATTTTATAGTGACAATGAAAAAACAGTACCAGGGACGTATCCTAATGTACATACATATTTTAAAAAGTACAATTTGAAACTACTAAAATATTTAAAAAATTAGTGTAAGCACCAAGAGATTTGCCCCGTTAAATTTCAAAAAATTCCGATGTTTTTATGTAGTATGGAAACAGAAATTTAATGTATCCATCACAACTTAAAATTTGGTATTTTTGAACTTATGCGCTAAAAATGTAAACAGAGCTTTTATTTACCTTTTAGCAAAAGCTGGAGCAAATTTTTGTTATAATTTGTTAAAAAAAAAACCTAAAAGGTAAAGTCCCACATGATTACCATGTGCTAAGAAATAGTTTTTCGCATTTTTTGACAAACGTATTCTTTTGAGTTGTGACTCTTTTTAAGACGGTGTGCGATATGTTTGAAAAAATGTTTCATGACAGAGAATCGCTGAGAAACTTTGCTATGCCCTAGTGAGGGGCGATCGGTGATACGAAAAAGTTTTACGATCATTTTGGATGTTTCGTATATCAGGAATCGAACCTGGGTTCTACCGAGTATTCCGCCGTACTTGTAGTACCCCCTCAAGAAATATTCGGGATTAAGCTGAAGTTAATTTCTGTCGCCAAAGGGAACAAGGTTGAAGTTGCAGACAAATACTAAAACTAGCTAGACAAATATTCCGGATCTGCTTCAGAATAATAATAATTATAATAGATTAGCTGTTACATACATGTATGTGTTTGGCCGGGCTTCTCCTCCGATTTGTGGCGTGGGCCTTGACAACAATAAAGGAGGGGACCGACAGTTTTACGCCAACTCCGAACGGCGATTGTATGTTTATGAGGGCTTGAACCCAGGCCCTGTGGAGTGGAAGCGCGCACTGCTTACCACTATACCACAGTGGCCGCCTTAGTAAGGATTAATTAATTAAATAAAACTCATCTGCATTAAATATTTTATTTTACATTTATTTACAGACTCACCATAAAAGCAACCTGCCCCATGGAGCTGAAAAACTTTCCAATGGATCTACAATCATGTCCACTTATAATCGGCAGTTGTAAGCGAAAGTAAAGTTAAAAAAAAAACTTGATTTATTGCAGAACATTTTACCTCCCAATAGATGGTTACACAAATCGCCAACTAGTCTATGAGTGGAAAGGTGAAGACGATGCGGTATCGTTTGTGCCGGGCATGACGCTGAATCAATTCGATTTGATTAGCATGAAACAACGCAATTTCACGTACACCAGACGCGAAGGAGATTTCTCTGTGCTGCATGTAGCTTTCAATCTTAAACGACACACAGGCTATTTTCTAATACAGGTGAGCTCGCCTCTCGGACTAGAAGATAAACTTTAAATAACACTCAAGTGCCTACCATCCACAGGTTTATGTGCCCTGCATACTGATAGTGGTCTTATCGTGGGTCTCCTTCTGGATACATCGCGAGGCAACTAGCGATCGTGTTGGACTTTGCGTGACCGCTGTGCTCACTCTATCCACAATAAGTCTGGATTCACGCACTGATTTACCCAAAGTGAAATATGCTACAGCTTTGGATTGGTTTCTGCTGATGAGTTTCCTTTACTGCATTGCGACGCTTTTGGAATTCGCAGGCGTACATTATTTTACAAAGGTCTGTAATGCGAGAAGAGAAAAAATATATATATTTCTTCAAGTGTATATTACTTAAGTCTGCAGTACGTACAATTTTATATGTGTCTTTTGTTGTAGGTCGGCAGCGGTGAAATACCCATAAGCGAGGATGAATGGGAGGACATTGACGAGGGCATTGCTGATGATGAGGCCGAAGAGGACATACAGAGCTGCTCGATAAAACGCAGTAATGAATCTGTTTGCGAAATTCAACATTCTTTAGCTGGTAACTTTTGCAAGCGCAATGCAATGATATGTCCTATTTATAATGTGAGTTTTTTTTTGACTAACTTCAATTAACTTTTATATGTAAAACTACTATTGATTTGTCATCTCTTTTTTTGCAGGATCCGACACAAATCTTTCCGGCTCCCTCCTCGCATTGCTCGACCATGGAACGCACCACACAAACCGAGCCGCCAGTTATCTCTAAAGCACGTCAAATGTGGCTTTGTCTAATTGGTGATGAGAAATTTCGTAAACAACGCGAGCGCGATGCGGCGGTAACAAAAGGTGATCAAACTAATTTTAAGAACATATTTGAATTCACCTCAAACAAACTGGGGGTGGTCCTTGGTGTTATCAATAGAGTAATTGAAGCGTAAGTTTCAAAATAGCTTAGGCACTATGAAAAACTACTGAAAAAGATGGACTGACTGTGATTTCGTCATTAAAGCGTAGACTTTGCGGTTTAATGCACGAATGTGGAAATTTATACGATGGAAGCAGCCTTTACGTGCAGGATCCCAGTTAAGATTTCTACTTTATTGCAGTAATAAATTACGACAGCTGTTTCGACACTTCGTCCATTTTTCAAGTTTACTGACGTAATTTATTCTATATGATAATATTTAAAGTTTTGTCCGAGACGAACTCTAAGAGACGAGGATAATATGAAAACCTTATAAATAACCACTTAGTCGATTTTTACTAGGACCGTACCTCCAGGTAATCCGTTCGAAGTTGTAAAGAAAAGCGCTGGGTGCTCTGAATGAAGTTCCGTTGGCTTCTGACTTCCACTATAGAAAGTTACGCGGTGTTCATTAAAAAGAAGACAAGATATTTAGACTCTAATCTAATGAACAAGTTATGTGAGAAGGAAGTGCTGAGATGAGTCTACATCATCAGTCTTCAAACTTGCTGCTTTCTAATGAACAATTCCCGGTTAGGACACCAGTTGGATACGAAAGTTGGCGTTTAGCCAGCTGCAGAAGCTCCTTTGACCGTCCGCGGTCGACCATCCTCCATTAGGACTTCGCATCTTAGGATGTGTTTCACATAGCACCCGCTAAGCTAGGCGTGGATAGGTAAAAATGTTGACAGAAATACGTTAACGCTCACATTAGAGGCTAAATGCCATTTTGATAACATAAACCTCGACTGAATATGTTAAAACCAACTTGCGTGGTTAATAAATTTGAGTATTCTGTGGAGGCTTATTTCAGAGAGTTGTTTTAATTACATTAACTCATATGCCTCTATTATGGCATTCTTTTCCCCCTGCAAAGTAGGTTTTCTACTCTTTCCTGTTCATTTTCATTCTTGCAGCTTCTACAGAAGACATCGCAGGCCAGTCTTCTGACGTGGGTGCCAATCCGCCAATGCCAAAAGAAAAGCTACTAGCCTCAAAACGTCAGGTCTGGGTTTTTTCAAAAGGGTTGTGTGTGTTCTACTAAGGTTGTACACTGGCCACATAAGTTTTAATATGCGGCAGCCTGCACCATCTCTGAACTGATTTTGGAAGGTTATTGAGAAAGACGTCTCTGTATGTGGTTCCAATTGGGGGTGACATACGATCCATGATCGAGGCCAATGTGGAGCCCCGCTGGCTAACTTACCTGCAGCCTCGTTTCCGGGAATATTGCTATAACCAGTAACCCAAACCAAATCTAGATTGAGGTGACTACTTACTGTGTTTAAAAGAGTCCTACACCTTCTGATCAGTTTCAACTTCGATATAAAATACTCCACCTTAACGGCTGCCTGGCTGCGTTCTACAACAGCCTTCAGCTATAGCGAATACTTCTGCCTGGAAAACACTAGCAAAATCGGGCAGATGGATTGATATTCTTAATCCTACGAATTCGTAGAAAACGCCTATTCCAAATCGACAGGCCGACGACGGAGATATCAAGTACCCCATTCCAGGCGGTTCTCGATGGGAGAATAACCCCGAAAGGCCTGAGAAATTTTATTTCTAGTCGTATGTAATCATGGCGCTTAAGCCAGTCAAGATATTATACAGCTAATGCCTAATAGCTCTTTGTTTCCATGTGAATTATGTGAAAGTCTTTACGAAATACGTTTCTAATACTCGTGAGGATGTCCATAGAGCAAGTTATCATTGCCTTTTTTGTCCCAATGCATGCGGCCCTCACAACTCTCCATAGTTTTACATGATTAAACTAGTTTTGTAGGGTTGTCCACTATACCGAAGAGTCATATCATAAAATCGGACGTTAAACCGCTGCGCACATCAAGAGTAAAACTTTTGGATTAAGACCGCATGTCCCCCCCCCCCCACTGAGGTAACCATACGCTTGCCCATTCAGGAACCGTCTACAGGTGTCACAGATACTCCTACGCCCTCCTTGTCTGGAGAGATGACCCCAAAAGTGTCCCAACTAGGTAATTTGTGAGCCATGCAGTTGTCCTGGGGCCCAAATCAGTTTCATTTCAAAGTAACCGAGTTAATCGGGAATTCAAGCATTTCCCGAACTGTGGTCCTCGAGCCCCGATTGGCGCTTGTCCAAGAGAATGATCGGTTATACACGGGTGCTAAATTAAAGAAAATTTGAGAGCGTTCGCAAAGTCACAATGTGTTTTTTTTTTTTGTTCATAGAGTAGTAATCCCGCATGGTGTAGTCTGCAATTAGCTTAAACTCCATTCTGCGTCCCCTTCAATTTCGTGTCATCTTGTGCGTTTGTTGTGTATCCCATATCTTTTTCATATCCAAGTACTGAGCATAAGCAAGACCATACCGGCTTGCCTTCGGTAAACAAAGCTTCGTTGGCGATAATAGGCACCAACAAGCCTTGACGATTAATAAATGTTGTTATCATCCCCTATTAAAAAAAGAGGTATGCAAGGCTTCTAGCCGTCTTTTGTATCCCTTAGCATCTTGTAAGATTTAACAAAAATAATAAGAGGGAGATGTTCGTTTTTGATTAACCTCTGTCAAATTGCATATTTTACATATTTAATACTTACACATATTCTAAATTTTTCAGGTACTCGCTATGTGAATAGCGTCTCGCTTATCGATCGAGTTTCGCGCGTCGCTTTCCCGATGTCGTTTGCTTTCTTTATGCTGCTCTATTGGCTAGCTTATGGCGTATACAAAAAAGAGTTTAAAAACTGGTCAACAATGAAGGGTTAAGGATTCGACAGAGGGGGGGGTTATTTGGACAAATCAAAAATATAAATAAGATAAATAATATCAATACAAATAAATAAGATATGATGATAATATTTTACAAAACAAAACGCTTAGTTAACATAATCAGAGCAATAAAGACAAACACCACAACAAACAACGAGCTTCTTTTATATTTAATTAGCCAACTTAGTGAATAAATAAGTACCTACTTATAGTTACATAAAATCGGTTATATAGTTTGTAAGCTAGCATGTTTATACTAAGCAATATAATTACATAAAACTTATGTTTACTGTATGTATGTAATAGAAATAGAAATCCTTAATTTAATACTTTATAGAAAACATAATAATTTGTATAGCATTTAGGCATTGTTAAGTTCTATTGGTTATAAACGAATTGTTACATTGTTGTTGTTAGTTGGTTTTGAAGAAAAATTAAAAATATATTTAAAGTACTTATATTAAAAAAAAATAAAAATTTTGGAATTTCTTTGACTTTGAACACTGGAACCTTCTGATTTATTAGGATACCAGTTGATACCCGCATGTTTCACCTCACGTTTTTATATGTACAAATATGAAAAATAAATTAATGATGTTATATTTTATTTCTGTGTTAATTTTTTATAGATGTGTGTTTTTTAAGCGAGTGAAATTACAAAATCTCGTCTGCATGCTTAGCATACGAAGGATATCATCAACTTTGGGCGAATCGTTACATAAGATTTCGTATTACTCGTCACGTAAAAACACAATTTTCGGATTATGACATACATGAACGTACTCTTTATCCCATAAAAAACCCCTCCTCCGGACTATAGCTAAATGCCTCCAAAAGGTATGCATCATGCGATTTTTTAGATTATGTATATGGCACATGCCGGATCTCCCTTTTGCACTAACCGAAAGTTTGTCTGTCAGACGGTACTGGTAAAATAAATCTCCATAACAAATTTAATATACTTCCACAGATTTTCTATTCTTCTAGAGATACAATATATCCATATGCCTCCTTTTTTTAACAATTCACATTTTTTCCATAAGCAATGAGCAATTTAAAATACCTAACTCCATACCAAGTTCCAGTATACTTCCACAAATACTTCCAGGATATGAATTAAGAAAATGTCAATTTGTACGGGAATAGATTTTATATATCTCAATACCAAGTCTTAGGGCTAGTTTTTCAGTGCACGTACGTGGTTTAAACTAATCCCCTTATTCTAGAACCCGAATTTTCGTAATTCGTAATTCGTAGCTACACTACAAAAAACGAAAAATCCAAATGCTGCAACCCTTGCGGAAACATGTGCAGCATTGCCAGCTATCAGTTGTTTTTCGAAGATAGCTGAATGAAGGAAAACAAAGTGGAAAGGAATTAAAAAAACACTCATCATGTGCTTGTTTATCGTAAAATAGGTTAATTTTACATATTTTGAGGAAATGATGGATTCTGATGCATTTGCAATTATAGCAGCGGAGTAAGAGGGCGCTATGGCAATGGATTCACAAAGGTATGCGGAGCTGTCGGGCATAGTAACCATGGGCGCATATATGTCAGCTTCTGGTTGAATTGTTGAACCACAAGCCAGAACTCCTCCTATGCCTGAAGCTCTGGTTTTCAATCCAGTTAATGCATTAACAGCTTCTTCCAAGCCATTGAAAACATGCACTTTGTTAGGTCCATCACCTTTTGCGCTCGCTTCTGCCTTCGGCCGCGCTTAGGGATTATAACCCTTACTAAGTACAATAAAAATATACGTATATACGAAAGGCAAATTTATCTGTTTAAGTGAGCACCACCAATATTTCTTACAAACACACATCGATATACATATTTTATTTCTCCTCCGACACAGAATTGTTTTCGTACAAAATTACGCAAAAAAGCTTACTGGTTCGTTTTTAGGCATGCCATTGTTACGAATTTCGAAGGTTCGAAAAGACGATTCGTAATTAAAAGGGAAAAACGTGAAGAGAGGGTCTATATCGCATACTATACTTGTAAAAGGATCTTTAGTAGAAACTAGGGATTTAAACCGAAACTTGTGATGTGGATGTACACCGCTATCATAAGGCCGATCCATATCTACGGCGCACTATTTTGGTGGCCAGCTTTAAGTAGACTTCAATATACTAAGTAGCTTAGAAAAAGCGGCTTGTTCGGGAATAACTGGGGCATTGAGATTCTGCCCTTCGGAAGCACTGAATGTCGTCCTCAATATGATTCCTATTGATCTGTGCCTAAAGAAAATGGCGATGTACTCAGCATTAAGACTCAGGGTATCCGGGCTGTGGAAAATAAGGACCTTTGGGCATAGCTCAATCTTAATTATTGGTCCGATAGAAAATAAAACCACGGACTACAAATTATCGAGCCAGGATTTTGGCTTAAAAGTGGTGGTACGGTTTCCATCCAGAAGAGAATGGAGAAGGGGCCAAGCAGATGATAAGGAACAAATCTTTCGGGAAACACACAGTTATGCAGTTAGCGGGTTCATCTAGCGCTACAATAAGCAATATGCACAAATTTATAAGCGGGTCAAAATGATTTATTTGAACCACACAAATGCTTGACAGATAGGCTACGGTAGAACAAAATTGTCCGCGAGAAGTGCAACAAAATGGTGCTACTATGCGCTAATTGAATCCTGAGTGTAACTTGGTAGGCACTACAACCAACCAACCAATCGGAATGAAATAAATACAAGGAGGAAAAAAATTCTAGAAGAACTTATTTGGCTCAGTTGAAAATGTACCGAAAATTCTATGTTTGTACTGAATGTACTTTCAAATTATAAAATAGCTGAAAAAGTACAATTGCATTAATACCTATTAATAGAAATTTATAGGCCACCGCTGCTTCCGACACTGACGCAACATTTTCATTAAGGAATAGTTATTTCTTTTTTTTAACAAGCTGCCAACATCGACATATCTCCTTTTAAAAAATCGGTTGGATTGAAAAATATAATTTTCAACACAAATGCAACTTTTTGCCTAATCCGTTTCTCTCTAATGCATAACATACTCGGTAAGATGACTTAAGTTTTTCGTTCTCACTTGCAAACATTATTTGATTTTTGATAAATAGGTGGAAGTCAAAAATCAACTGCATACATACATACATATGTGATTAAGAGCAAACAAGTGTACATATGTATAGAATAATCGCTTATCAAAATTTCTATTGAATATTTACTTTTGTAATTTATGCAAATCGATTCACACCTGCTCCGCTGCATGTGTAAATAGCTACATTTTGGATTGTTAAATGGAAAATAAAAATATGCTTGATTACTACGCTGAAACATTGCTTACAAAACGGTATATATAAACTCGTAATTTTAGAATCAACAACCCCAAATGTTGTTGGCGTTCGCACAACCCTTGATTTCATCAAAAAATTTATGCGTTTACTTTAAAGTGTTTGCTGATTAGCAGATATTTACCTTGATATATGTAAATACATAAATATAGAAAAAATATGTACATATGTATGTATGTATGTACGTGAATAGAAAAAATGTATACACAAACATACCACCTTTTCTTGAACACCACAATTCGGTAAGGTCGTTCTCTTTTACCCTGAATTTCTGAAAATATTCCTTTTGTAATGTTTTGTCACCCTTTCGCCTCAGTTTGGAATTGTTTATGCACGCGCTATTAAGGACCAAACCAGGATGCAAATATTCGTAACCGTGTCGCTATTCCAGAAAGGCCGGACACATTAAGGCTCGTTATTGGCTATAATGATTAACTAAGTGCTTCCAAAAAGTAATTATTTTCCATGATAAATAAGTGCATACCTAATTTTTATTAGGTTTCAGCGATATCATTCATATTTTGTGAGTCTGAGATTCATGCTAACGATCAACGATGTGAATGTTATGCACATACGCCAAGGGTAGAGCAGGTGAAGGTTAAAATTTCCAGCAGGTTATCAGATTAAAAATGTAAAGTGAAAGTAGATTCGCTTGTTCAAACCCTTATTTCGTAGTTAAAAACAATTTATTAGTTTAGCTATTGGCTATTAGGTGAAGAGGAGGAGGGTATTCTTCATAATTTGGTTTGCCGTTAAGGTCTGATCTTGCAACCAACAAAGCGCGAGTCATATACATATATATGTATTATATATATTATATAACTTGGCTCAAAAGCCAACAAACGGATTTTAACCAAATTGGAAAAGTGTAATCCCTAGACCCATGGCACGGGCATAGGCTACAACATAATCAGCTAGGTTGAGCATTATCGGATTTTGATCAAATTAGAGAAGTATACTGGTACGAGTAATTCTTTTACGAAAGCTTAATCCGCTAGGTGGCGCTAGAGCCGAGATATTTATAAAATCTGTATTTAGCGTCCGATTTCGATGAAATTAAAAGCGTATACTGCAGGTGCGATTAAAAAAGCTTTTACAAAAATTGGATCCGCTAGTTGGTGCTGGAGTCGAAATATTCGGAAAATCCTTATTTATTGTTCCACTAAGATGAAATTACAAACGCTACCAGGAATGCTGCAGATATTCGCAATCGCATTCCAATACGCAAATGTTGCGCAAGTCGTCCCACAGAAATATTGCAACTATATTAAATAGACTGTACATAATTTTAAAGGTCAATGATGCATTTGAATCTTTACATTAACGACAATGACATGAGCCCAATTTTTGCCAGAGCAATGGAAAATCATGGAATCTTACTTGTTGAGCTATTAGAACCCTTTGAAGAAGCCACACGCCAAATAAGCACCTCTGAGACCTTCTTGTCGTCCGTGATTCCATTAATTCATTTGCTTATTTATTAAAAGTTTGGATAACTTTTTAACAAAATTTCAATATACTGATCCAATTCAGCTGACAGACACGGCTTTGAGAGCATAATGATAACAGGGCCGGGTCGTATGAGTATCGTTTTTAAAGTTTCAAGCAAAATGTTTGCCGGGGCGTATGATAAACTTTGAGTCCCAAGTTTTTTGGTACAAACAAAATGTATTCAACAAAGTGTGATTGATTTTGACATTGCTCTCATAAGAAACAGGCTATAATGTCAAATTGAAATGAATTGTTAACCGATTTGAAAATGTGTTTTTTCAAATTTGAATTTGTTTAAAAATAAATTACACACAAATTTTTCAAGCAACAAATTTCCTTAATAAACGTGAAATTGTTAAGAGATAAACCGCCGAGGAGAGCAAGTAAGTACATTTAAGTTTGGTAATAAGTAAATACGCGCGACTTTGCTTAAATATT